ACTCACTTCTCAGCCTACTATGCGAGGCCCGATTTGCCTAATAAGCCAAGTTTTACTGAATTATTATATTTTCTCTAATTTTTTTCTTATGAAATGATAAAGCTACCCATTTCATTATGTATGAGGTCATTTTTTTTTAATTGGAGTTAAAATTAACGTAGATATATGACCGAACCTAACCAACCCTACCTAACCTATCTTTATAGGTTAGGTTAGGTTAGGTAGCCGGAAACGTTAGGTTAGGTTAGGTTAGGTAGGTTAGGTTGTCGAAAAAACATTAATTCATGAAAACTAGGCTTATCAGGCAAATCGGGCCTTGCATAGTAGGCTGAGAAGTGAGTTCTGGCTACTAGGTACGACATATATATATATATATATATATATATATATATATATATATATATATATATATATATATATATATATATATATATATATATATATATATGTCGTACCTAGTAGCCAGAACTCACTTCTGAGCCTACTATGCAAGGCCCGATTTGCCTAATAAGCCAAGTTTTCATGAATTAATTGCTTTTCGACTACCTAACCTACCTAACCTAACCTAACCTAACTTTTTCGGCTACCTAACCTAACCTAACCTATAAAGATAGGTTAGGTTAGGTTAGGTAGGGTTGGTTAGGTTCGGTCATATATCTACGTTAATTTTAACTCCAATAAAAAAAATTTGACCTCATACATAATGAAATGGGTAGCTTTATCATTTCATAAGAAAAAAATTTGAGAAAATATATTAATTCAGGAAAACTTGGCTTATTAGGCAAATTGGGCCTTGAATAGTTGGCTGAGAAGTGTGTTCTGGCTACTAGGTACGACATATATATATATATATATATATATATATATATATAATATAATATAATATGTCGTACCTAGTAGCCAGAACGCACTTGTCAGCCTACTATGCAAGACCCGATTTGCCTAATAAGCCAAGTTTTCCTGAATTAATATATTTTCTCAATTTTTTTTCTTATGAAATTATAAAGCTACCCATTTCATTATGTATGAGGTCAATTTTTTTTATTGGAGTTAAAATTAACGTAGATATATGACCGAACCTAACCAACCCTACCTAACCTAACCTATCTTTATAGCTTAGGTTTGGTTAGGTAGCCGAAAAAGTTAGGTTTGGTTAGGTTAGGTAGGTTTGGTAGTCGAAAAACCAATATGTATATATATATGTATATATATATATATATATATATATATATATATATATATATATATATATATATATATATATATATATATATATATATATATATGTCGTACCTAATAGCCAGAACGCACTTCTGAGCCTACTATTCAGGGCCCGATTTGCCTAATAAGCCAAGTTTTCATGAATTAATGTTTTTTTCGTCTACCTAACCTACCTAACCTAACCTAACCTAGCTTTTTTTGGCTACCTAACCTAACCTTACCTATAAATATAGGTTAGGTTAGGTTAGGTAGGGTTGGTTAGGTTCGGTCATATATCTACGTTAATTTTAACTCCAATAAAAAAAAATTGACCTCATACATAGAGAAAAGGGTTGCTTTATCATTTCATAAGAAAAAAATTATAGTAAATATATTAATTCAGGAAAACTTGGCTTATTAGGCAAATCGGGCCTTGAATAGTAGGCTGAGAAGTGAGTTCTGGCTACTAGGTACGACATATATATATATATATATATATAATTTTTTTTTTTTTAACCTAGAAGGGGTACCACCTCTGGTGCAAGTGTAGGGACCCATAGCCTCGGAGAAGAAAATAAAGAGTACTCAGAGAAGACCTTGTGGATCCTCACTGAACACTTTGATATTTTCTTCTCCTACCACCCCTATTCTTTTGGTAAGTGTGTATATTTATCTAACTTTATTTGAAAATGTCATTACATAAAAAAAAGTTACAATATTGATTGCATGCAGGGTACAAGGCTGCTTGTCACAAGTTGAACAGCTCCTCCAGCTCCTCAGATGGCGGGCAGGAACCGTGGATGCAGTGAGCATTTCCTCTTTGGATTGCCACACTAAGGCGCTGAAAAAGAAAACTGGCAGCTCTAGGGTCTCTAGTTGTTTGATTAACTTAGACCCCAACTCCTTCAAAAAGCTAGCAGCACTTTTACCCCAGGCACCAAGTGTCTCTGAGGCAATGGGGACAAAATTGTAGTGGTGCTCAAGGTCTCTGTATTTACGTGACTTGGCCGCTTCCCGGTGATTGGCAGCTCCTCCTGCTTGTGTAGCACTGAAGTCAACATAGGTATTGGCTAAAGTTGAAACGCAAGTGTAGCCCCACACCAACTGTCTACCATTCTTCCAGGGGTTCACCGTAATTCCGTCTGGGCGACCGACAGGCTCATCAGAGTTGCGGGACATTAGGTAACGGGGCTCTCTCTCTGCTGGACAACCGGCTGTGGTAAGGCTTCTCTTAATAATGTCATTAACCTCGCCGTGTCTTGCATGCCATCCTCCCGTCCTTTGGCAAAGAAGGCCATGCCGTCCATATCTGTCGGCCTCTGCCTCGCCGCAAATACACCTGTATTCGGTGTGGATTGGGGCAGCGAGGCGGAGAGCCACGGCAATTCGGAGGGCCTGCGGTGTGAGACGGGTGCCGGTTGCTGACATTGGGGTTGCTAATAGGAAATCACCTGCATGGGAAGCTGCTACAGCTCTAAGTCGGGCAGTGTCATGTGGTGTTGTCGCAGCTCCTAGCAAAGTTGCAGCTTCTTGGTCGGCAATGGGGCGATCCCAGCTGGATTGCTTGTGAGCTTCAGAAGGCAGTGGTTGGGGTGCTGGTCCTGCGAGAGAAACCCATTTTGTTGTGCAGTCTGTGAAACTGGGATCTTGCACCCCTGCCTGTTGAACTAGGTGCTCAGGTAGGATTTCCTTCACCAAGTTGTCAGACCCCACTGAAGAGGATAGGAACGCTGGTACAGCAATTTGTGTTGCTGTGCGCACGCCAAGGCCCCTGAGTCTGACAGGAAGGGAGGCCTGTTTCCACTGTGAGTCGCTGAGGGAAAGATTGAGGGCTTTTTCCAGTGTTGATTTCAACAAGCTGTCATACTCTTCTAATTTAATATTGTTGAAAGATGGCGAACATCTTAGAAAGTAGGTCAGCCTGGGGAGGGACAAGCATCTGGTGATGAGGTAAAGTGCATCATGAGCATCGATGTCTTCAATCCTCTCGTTCATCCTCTTCAGGTCAGTGATCTTACCAAGGACCTCGTCGATGGCATTCCTTCCAAGAGGAGCACCTAGGAGTGTGCTGTCCTCAGGGTTGGTTGTATGAATGTCAGGCAAAACAACCTTTATTTGCTCTATTATGTGCTGGTTGGTGGAGGTTATTTCGCACTTGGAAGGGTTCAGGGTGAGGCCTAGGCTTGCTCCTTGCTCCTGAATTATTCTTATGTCGTCCAAGAGTGAGGCTGGGGAGCCGGCTAGAGTACCATCATCCAAAAACCAAATGTTGAGCTCACTGGACAGGTTATCGGTGACTTCCTTGATAACTAGGCAGAAAAGAAAAGGAGCAAGGGGGTCACCTTGTTGGACACCTTCTTGTGATTCAATTTCATGTTCTCCAAAAAGCAGAGATAGATTCTTGCTGTAGCATGAGTTTACAAACGGGTAGAGGGAAGGAAAAAGGCGATGAACTACACTGAGTACTGCATCCCTTCTAACCAGATTGAAAGCATTTTTGAAGTCCAGCTTTATCAGGGCTTTTTCATTCGTAATGTTGGCAATGTAGGCTCTAGCTGCATGAGCCGCTGCCTCACACCCTTGGGGAATGCCAAACCCAAGCTGTTTTGGCTTCAGCATGTCGGCTGCTGCCTGACTAACTGCTCTAGCTGCAGCCTTAGCGACGAGACGCCAGAGTGAATTGCCCACAGCTATCGGTCTGATTCCTCCATCTTTTTTCCTCAGGGCACAGAGGGTAGCGCCAAAAAAGAGAGGCCGTATGGTCTCTGGTATGTTGCCAGCTAGACATGTGTTGGTGAATCTAGTTAGTTCCACCAGGAGGCCCTGTGCAATGTCTCCCAGTGCAGGGTTGAGCATTTGTTTGATGTGGTTAGGTCGTAGTCCTGTGAACCCACCTGCTGATCCTGGTGGGAAGGATAAAGCTGCTTTGTGCACCATGGATTCGAGCACACACAGGGGTTCTGCTCTGGTGACACCGACTAGGGGAACACTGTCGTCACGAGGAGCTCTGGGTGGGTGTTTTTCCCCTCAGGGCTTGTGCTGTATCGGCATCCCTGGTGGCAACTGTGTCTTCACTGGTGATGACTCTGATCGCCCTAATTGTGTTGCCTTCTTCTATTTTCTTGGTGACTGTTGCTCTGATTTTTGATGCCTCGGTTCTGCTGTTGATACCTTTCCTGCCGTGGGTGTTTTTGGCACGGGTGGGGAGGGGTGCCTGGTTGTCCTCTCTAGGAAAACTATTTATAGCCATAATGACTGAGGAAGCTAGTGATTTGTCTCTCCTTGCAGGGAGAGACATATGTTTCCAAACAGGAGAAGGTTGCGCCATGCTTGGATGGTTCCGGGGGAGTCATTGACCTTTTTCAAGAGGGTGGATAATTTGGCTGCTGCCTGGGCCCAGCTATATATATATATATATATATATATATATATATATATATATATATATATATATATATATATATATATATATATATATATATATATATATATATATATATATATATATATATATACATTTATATATATATATATATATATATATATATATATATATAATTTATATTTAATGTATATAATACTGATAGTACATATTATTATTATTATATGATGTACTAGAGGTAAAAGGTACCAGGCGTTACTAAGGTAGCAGAGGTCACATATCACACATACTTTTCACAGGATGTTTCTAATGTATTTCAAGGTTTACATGCAACAGACACGTAGAGTGTCGTGTTGCTGTTAAACATCTTGTTACCCTTGCATAGTTGTCATGTTGATCACTTGTCTTCCCCCGGCAGGTAGTGACCAGTGCGGGTCAGGTCAGGCCAAGTGCCACACCGGCCAGTGTCTGCCACTCAGCTACTGGTGTGACCACATCCCTGACTGTCCAGACCAGTCCGACGAGCTCTACTGTGGTGAGTCTGGTGACTGTTGGCGTTGGTGACTGTTGGTGTTGGTAACTGTTGGTGTTGGAGACTGTTGGTGACTGTTGGTGTTGGTGACTACTGGTATTGGTGACTGGTACTGTTGGTGACTGGTAGTACTGGTGACTGGTAGTGTTGGTGACTGGTAGTGTAGTGACTGGTAGTGTTGGTGACTGGTAGTGTGGTGACTGGTAGTGTTGGTGACTGGTAGTATTGGTGACAGGTAGTGTTGGTGACTGGTAGTATTGGTGACAGGTAGTGTTGGTGACTGGTAGTGTTGGTGACTGGTAGTGTTGGTGACTGGTAGTGTGATGACTGGTAGTGTGATGACTGGTTGTAGTGAGGTAACTGTTAGTGCTGTGACTGGTACTGTGGTTACTAGTAGTGAGGTGACAAGTGTGAGAAAATGTACATATGTACTGCGAAGGAGGAACACTATTTAGTCCTTTCACTGCTCTGCCTCTAACGTATTGGAGTTAAAGGAAGAAAAGAAATGAAAAATGAAGAAGACAATGGGGTGAGGGAGGTGGGGAGGTGAAAGGTAGTGAGGAACGTGATGAGGGGAAAGGGAAAGTTTAGATTGAGAGGGATAGAATAAGATCAAGGAGGAAATTAGAAGAGTGGATAGTAGGAGTAGAAGTATAGTAGAAAGATAGAAGGTTAGTAGAGAGATAAAAGAAAAGGTTTAGCAACTAGTTTGCCAGTTGCAGTTGTAGTAGTTTGCAAGTAGTTTGTAGTATATATATATATATATATATATATATATATATATATATATATATATATATATATATATATATATATGTATATATATATATATATATATATATATATATATATATATATATATATATATATATATATATATATATATATATATATATATATATGAGGGTTAAGGCGTACCTGTTATGCCAGTTGCTGGAAGGCTTCTGTGCTGGCTAGGGTTCGAGTCTCCTGGTGGGAAAGTGTTCTAAAGTTGTATACTTGACTCTCGTGTTTAGGAGAGTTGTGCCTTAAGCAGAGACACTGTGTCTTCCCATATTAACAGGGACTTGATGAAATTAACGTCTAAATGACCCCTCGCTTGCTCTGGTGCTCTTGGGAGGTGTTGATCTTTGTGGTATTTAAATACTCCGAAATTACCATCTCTTTTAAGGGTCTGAGCAGGTGGTGGAGAGGGTTAAGGCGTACCTGTTATGCCAGTTGCTGGAAGGCTTCTGTGCTGGCTAGGGTTCGAGTCTCCTGGTGGGAAAGTGTTCTAAAGTTGTATACTTGACTCTCGTGTTTAGGAGAGTTGTGCCTTAAGCAGAGACACTGTGTCTTCCCATATTAACAGGGACTTGATGAAATTAACGTCTAAATGACCCCTCACTTGCTCTGGTGCTCTTGGGAGGTGTTGATCTTTGTGGTATTTAAATACTCCGAAATTACCATCTCTTTTAAGGGTCTGAGCAGGTGGTGGAGAGGGTTAAGGCGTACCTGTTATGCCAGTTGCTGGAAGGCTTCTGTGCTGGCTAGGGTTCGAGTCTCCTGGTGGGAAAGTGTTCTAAAGTTGTATACTTGACTCTCGTGTTTAGGAGAGTTGTGCCTTAAGCAGAGACACTGTGTCTTCCCATATTAACAGGGACTTGATGAAATTAACGTCTAAATGACCCCTCACTTGCTCTGGTGCTCTTGGGAGGTGTTGATCTTTGTGGTATTTAAATACTCCGAAATTACCATCTCTTTTAAGGGTCTGAGCAGGTGGTGGAGAGGGTTAAGGCGTACCTGTTATGCCAGTTGCTGGAAGGCTTCTGTGCTGGCTAGGGTTCGAGTCTCCTGGTGGGAAAGTGTTCTAAAGTTGTATACTTGACTCTCGTGTTTAGGAGAGTTGTGCCTTAAGCCGAGACACTGTGTCTTCCCATATTAACAGGGACTTGATGAAATTAACGTCTAAATGACCCCTCACTTGCTCTGGTGCTCTTGGGAGGTGTTGATCTTTGTGGTATTTAAATACTCCGAAATTACCATCTCTTTTAAGGGTCTGAGCAGGTGGTGGAGAGGGTTAAGGCGTACCTGTTATGCCAGTTGCTTTAAGGCTTCTGTGCTGGCTAGGGTTCGAGTCTCCTGGTGGGAAAGTGTTCTAAAGTTGTATATATATATATATATATATATATATATATATATATATATATATATATATATATATATATATATGTATATATATATATGTATATATATATATATATATATATATATATATATATATATATATATATATATATATATATATATATATATATATATATATATATATATATATATATATTAGTATATTTTGGTAGCAGTCTTTCCTGTAGACATATATTATTAAATATGACCGAAAAAGTAAGATTAATAATTCTAACACGAATTTTCTCAATCTTTCGTACATTACGCTTCACTGTTGGAGGTAAATCAAAAATCAATTCTCCAAAATTCATTTTTATTTCTAGTCTGACGCGACACGAGCGCGTTTCGTAAAACTTATTACATTTTCAAAGACTTTAGTTCACAAATACACAACTGAATAGAACTTACGTATCTCCGATTTTATATCTACATTTTGAGTGAGGTGGAAGGGGTGATGTGGCATTAACACAAGACAGAACAAAATGTGGTATTAATAGGGTATTAATTTCATCAACACAAGACAGAACAAGGGTATTAATAGGGTATTAATTTCATCAACACAAGACAGAACACGAAACAATGGGTATTGAATAGAAGTGATTGTAGAAAGCCTATTGGTCCATATTTCTTGATGCTTCTATATTAATATAGAAGCATAAATAATAATAGAACGCATTAATAATATTGCATGCAGGAGATTTCAGACAAACATTACCTGTAATTCCTCAATACAAGTCCGTCAACACTGTTGACGAAGCAGCTGAAACGGTTAATTATCGAACAGAAATTTTTAATTCACTCGATCTGCCAGGGATACCATCACACATACGGCAATTGAAAATCTGCGTGCCAGTTATCAGGTTGCAAAATATCAATCAGCTGAATCCTTTCAACGCGACGCACCTTGCAGTAAAAAAATTAATAAGCAACATCGTAGAAGCAACAATCTTGACAGGACCTTTCAAAGGCGAATTTGTCCTTATTCCTCGCATTCCTATGATTCCAACAGATATGCCACTTCAATTTAAGAGATTGTAATTTCCAAATCGATTGGTGTTTGCTATCACCAATGACGCGTACGATTATATTACGTTGTTGGGTATATTAGATACACATTGTTTAGTGAGTTTTCATATTTATTTAGTAGTCTTGATTACAGTAGTCGGTTGGCGAAATTGTCGTAAACGTTCAGACGGAACTTGGAGCAGAGCAGAGAGATGAGTGAGGCCGGAGTCATGGAGCTCTATGTGGGAGAGCGTGGCAGCTCGATTGGGAATTGCGAGTGTCTGAACTCGAAGAGCGAGAGCGTTGTAGCTCAATGCGGTCATAGTCTATTGTCTGCTCTGGTTCGAAGCTGTAGCATCTTGGGTCGATTAGAACTGTACATGCCGAGTGCTACATTGCTGACTGTGGAAATTGTACTGTAAGCTATTTTTCTTATTGCTTGCTTATATGGTGACTACACCTCAGCTCCCTCCAACAAGATGAGAGGAGTATTACTTGTAATTGGGGAAAGGATTGTAGCTTCTGTAATTTATGCTAATTAGTTATGCTATTAAGATAATGAGATAATGGAGCGAGTATAAAATTAACTCACTACAGGATTCCCCTTGCCAGGGAATGGAAGAAAAGCAATATAACAAAAAATACGAGACTACTGTTCCCTGGGTCGCTGTGGAGCATGTAGTGGGGTACCAAAAGATGCAGGCAGTGTGTGGACAAGCTCGATGTAGCAGGAGAGAAGAATGTGCATGATTGTTGCATCCTTGGGTAACTGGTGGAGCATTTAGATCCGGGGAGGATGAGCTCGGGCACCTGGACAATAGGAGGTAATGTAGGCATGTAGTTAGGACAACGAGGGAATCATTGCAAGAGCTGAATTGTCCTGGAGGCGATGAAGAGTCGGAAGCGCAAGCTGTAAGTCCTGAACTGTGGAAAGGGCTTGAGTCTGCAGAATATCAGAATGCAGTGAACGTGTAGATGAATCTGACGAAAGAGCAGCTGTTGTGGGAGTCTCTGTAGAACAAGCAGTGCCCTGACAGCGACGGAGAGTCGGCAGGACAGGCTGTAGATCCTACATGATGTAATCATTGATGAGGCTGTCAGATGAGTAGGTAACGATCGTGGAGCATCAAGCCGTAGCAGATGAAAATGCACAGATAATCGTGATGAAAATCAATGCTGTGTTGAGGGTGATGGCAGCGTTCCATGACAGGTGGCTGCGGTCCACAGCAAGCAGCAGTAGTAGTGAAGGTCCAGTGAGAATCCGTGTTGTAGTGAGTCGTGGCTGGGTATCGTCGAAATTCTCCGGAGTCACCAATGTAACGTACGTTTATGTTACATTGTTGGGTATATTAGATACACTTTGTTTAGTGAGTTTTCATATATATTTAGTAGTCTTGATTACAGTAGTTGGTTGGTGGCATTGTCATAAACGTTCAGACGGAACTTGGAGCAGAGCAGAGAGAGATGAGTGAGGCCGGAGTCGCGGAGCTCTATGTGGGAGAGCGTGGCGGCTCGATTGGGAATGGCGAGTGTCTGAACTCGGGGAGCGAGAGCGTTGTAGCTCGATGCGGTCGTAGTCTGCTCTGTGTCGAAGCTGTAGCGTCTTGGGTCGATTAGAACTGTACACGCCGAGCGCTACATTGTTGACTGTGGAAATTGTACTGTCCGCCATTTCTCATATCGCTTGCTTATATGGTGACTACACCTCAGCTCCCTCCAACAAGATGAGAAGAGTATTACTTGTAATTGCGGAAAGGATTGTTGCTTCTTTAATTAGTGCTAATTAGTTATGATATTAAGATAATGAGATAATGGAGCGAGTATAAGATTAACTCA